ATTTTCACAATTGCCAGGTCTTCAGTGACCATTCAAAATACATACAGATGTTCTACGTTTTCGGTTATTGTGCATGACGTGCTCTGATTGGTCAGCGGAATTTTTCAGCTCAGTACTTTACAGAGAAATCTTTCCCAAATTGTTATTTTTATCTTACTTCATTTTGTATGGTCAGAATGAGTCAAAACTTTTCTGTTACTTTATTCTATTCAGTAGATTTATTTATAAGTAAACAGTACTTTATTTCACCTTGTACATAGTACATGTTAAGTATTGACTATATTCTGGTGCAGTTTTAGATTAGTATCAGTAATAAAAATTACTATTTTCTTTTTAAAAGCCCGAGTCCAGTGCTTTTGCATGTCACACTATTTCTCTCTCTCTCTCTCTCTCTCTCACACACACACACACACACACACACACACACACACACACACACACACACACACATATATATATATATATTGTTTTAGAAATGACGGAACGCATTCGTTTTTTTTTTAAGGAAACTTTTTCGTCCAAAACTTCTTCAGAAAGATTCATTAGAAAAAAAAAACATACAAAAAATCATATATATATATATATATATATATATATATACAGTGCTGTTCGATAAAAGTGACTCACCTGATTTTTTTTACTTAAAAATCTTTTCGCCTATTGTTTTTTGGGTCAAACTAATATTTAATCTTACTAATATAAAGACCCCTTCCTGACCACCTAGTAAAAAAGTTTACTCACCCTAAGGTATTCTATTGATAATTATAATTTTGGATATAAATGAGATTTAGGGGAAAACTCTGTGCACAAAAAGTGACTCACTTAATTCCTACAACTAGTAATCAATAGAAACATAACCGAACAGCTTTAAATAAAGAACAATAGAGATATAATTTTCTTTATAATAGGTAATATAGTGCGAAATATTTAATAATCCATGGGTCCTCCTTTATTTTGAATAACTTTTTCAACCCATTTTGACATTGACTTGATTAGTTTCTGGCAAATCTCATCTCCAAGCATTGAATTCCATTCAGATATGAAATTCACAATCAAATCCTCTTTGTTGCTCAACTGCTTTCTTTATAATGCTACATAAGCTTTCTATGGGGTTGAGGTCAGGAGATTGGGGCGGCCATGTCATAACACTCACTTGCTTCTCATCAAAGTATTCCTTCATTAATTTTGATTTGTGACAGGGAGCATTATCTTGCATGAAAATGAGCTTGATGGGGTCGATTTGTGACCCTTTCAGCAGAAGGGAGCAGACAAGACTGTAAAATTCTCTTGTACTGCTCGCTCCTGAGGGTCTTTTCAATAGGTTTTAAGAAACCAGTTCCATGAAAAGAAAGGCATCCCCAGAACATTATACTGAACGGATGCTTGATAGTACTCACTGCTAAATTCAAAGAGCTTTCAAAGCTTCTTCTGCGAATTTTAGATCGCTTATCCTTTTGAATTTAGCTCAACTTTCGTTTCACCGGGGAAGAGAACATTTAGTAAAATAAACCAGGAGAGTCACTTTTATCGAACAATACTGTATATATATATATATATATATATATATATATATATATATATATATATATATAGAGAGAGAGAGAGAGAGAGATAGATATAGATATGTGTGTGTGTGTGTGTGTGGTGCGATGGATAAGTTGTCATCTAAATTACACTAAAAATGGCTCATAGCTTCAACCACGGCCTCGAAACGACTTAGGAATCTAATTTACAACTCCTCTAGGTGGTCTCCTTGTTTAAGTTGGTGAATGCTGCCATAATCCTTGTCTTCATGACTGGGTTCTCATGCTTGTGTGTTGCCAGACATAGGTTCTTCCAGCAGCCACCCTCTTGACCCAGGGTAGCACTACCTCCTGAAGGCTCTTGATATAGGCCTCGTGTTGTGTTTGAGGCCCTGACCAAATTCGCGAGGTCTTTCCTTATCAGTTTTCCTAGTTGTTGTACCATCGCAATCACCATTAGACTCATCCAACTCTTTCCGAATCCCCTTCACTGTGCTCAGATTGACATCCAAGTACTCTGAAATATTCATATTGGATCTTTCGGGGTGAATGTCGAGCAATATTTCTGGCGGAGGGAATTGCGTCATGGTGCTTCTTCTTCTCACAGACGGTGTTTAACTCTACCAGAGGACGAGCAGTATAAATCACGGGCAGGTTATATTTAGAACCAGCAACTATTCTTCCTGCTTACACAGGAAAGGTTGCTAAGAGTTAATATAAATGGTTTCAAGCACTTTCAAATGGTAATTTCAAATGGTAATTTCAAATGGTAATTCTAATGCTCTCTGGTAAAAGAGGTACCAGTCGAATTATTAAGTATTCCGCAATCATAGAACCAAAATAATTAGCATGGGTAAGCAAATGAAAACAAGCTGTGGATCATTCTGAGTAGTTATTCATTACACCATACTGCCCAAGAAAAAAGATGATTATTAAATGATGTCAATTTTTTGGTGACAACATGTATAATCGATTTTTAAAATTTCATATCTAATAATTGTTGTGGCTTTGTTAGGGCCAGAAATAAAGACACAAAGAGAGGAATTGAGTTAAACAAATATATTAACAGAAACAGTAATACAAACATATACAAACAAGAGTGTTACAGCAAGAATGTTCGGTCCGACTGTCAGAGTTGATTGTTGGAAACTTCCCTCTCAAAAAGGCAGTACCTGCTCCTATTTAGAGCTGGGAGAGTTCACGCGTGCGTGGGTAAATTACCTAACAATAATATTAAAAGGGTAATACTATAAGAGAATATTTTTTCAGAATAACAGCATATTCTATATAGGTTGTAGGTTGGATAAAATATCACCGAGAGATTTAGTTTGGGGGCCGTAGTTTAGCGAACTCTGAGTAGATAATCGAAATAATCATTTGAAATCATTCGTTGATAATGTCGATTTTCAATTATTATTGAGTGAGTGAGCTCTATGCTAACAAAATGAGGTTGGGATACAAATAGACGAAGTCTAATATACCGATAATGACAACCGTTTTAATAAGGGTGTAACAAGTAGATGCATCACAATCAAATGGTGACAGGTTCTGATAAAAGCCCGCGTGGAATAGTTACATATACATTCAGGTCAGAGAATCAATTTTGTTCAGACGGTCTCCGATTAAAAGAGTTTCCAAGTATTAAGCGGGGTTTCAAGTTTTAAATATGAAACAGACAAAGCGACTTATGAATCTTCCTCATCCTTTAAACAAAACAAAAATAACCCGCTAGACCAGTGGTTTTCAAACTTTTTGCTGGAGCGAAACCACAAGGAAACATTCCAGTGGCTCGAGGAACCCCTGCAATAAATTAATTGCCTTATGCAAAAAAAAAGCTTTCAATTATTAAAATAAAATAATAAAATACTCATCAGATTTATTTACAAAAAAATACAAAGATAAACTGTATGTGTTTGTGCGTGTGTGTGTCCCAGCAACTCCTCCGCCCCCACTGGTCCGATTTCAATAATTCATAGCTTATTCAAAAGCCCTACAAAAGTTAGGCGCATGGATCGATTTTCGTTCAGCTCAGATTCAGGATTGCCAGATTATGGGAGGTTAAAAATATATATTAATATATTATACTAGCCATTATTGTAGCTTTCATGGTCCAAGTAGAGTAACTATTATTTTCCTTTTGTATCCAAAATTGCAGTGCACGTTTTATTATAAACTAACTTAAAAGCCGCCATATTGGACGACATTTAAGCTAGCTCCTGTGGACTCCTGGCTAGGCCATCATCACAATAGCTGGGGAAGAGTAGATGCGATAGGCATCAATAAACTACAGAACAACTTAAAATTGATCGCTGCGTTTAAATGTAACTTTTAAAAGTTCAACGACAATTCTTCTGCTTAAAGACGATTTGATGTACATAGATCCTTATTTTCCGTTAAAACAATTATTTTTATTTCATGGATGACAGAACAGGGGACAATTTATATGATAAAATTAATATAGTGTAAAGATGGGAAAATAGAATTAGTTATACATTTAACATTTGAAGATTTAGAGCAGTGGTTTTCAACCTTTTTGCTGGAGCGGAACCACAAGGAAACATTCCAGTGGCTCGAGGAGCCCCTGCAATAAAAAATCATAGAAAATCATAGTACTTGTATAACTTCTTGCGGAACCCCTGGGCTTTACTGGTAGAACGCTAGGGTTCCGCGGAACCCTGGTTGAAAACCACTGCTCTAGACACTCAGCCATGATACCCTCACATTACTCCCACCCATGAAACATAGGTGAACCGTATGCCAACCCCTAAGATAAAGACCTGACTGGTTAAGCAAATCTGTGGTACTGAATGTCATATTTATTATAGCCCAACTTAATTCGCCAAGACAAAATCTTAACAGATCTAATCAATTAAAACCAGAAGCCATGATAGACATGCCGAGTGTAATATCAGGATATTTATTATTATTATTATTATTATTATTATTATTATTATTATTATTATCCTCTGTGGCTCTTATATGTTTCGGACGGGGTGGTGATGATTATATCTCAGCTCCTATACGCAACTTAGAAACACAACACTTTCCCCAGCAGATGACCTGTTCCAAGCAGTGCTTCTACCTGCGCACTTCCAATGATGTCAGGCATTTCCAAGGCGTTCTGCGAGGCAGAAAGATTCCTGGAAATAGTGCCGAGTGCGTCAACCACAAAACGGGTGACTTGAATTGCTGCTTGGCACATTTCTTTAATTTGCTCTGCCAGGTCTTTGTACCTCTGTATCTTCACCTGCTCCGTCTTCACAATGTTCTTATCACAGGGTACCACAAAATTTATCAAGACCAATTCATGGCTGCTCTTGTGCACAAGTGTGATATCAGAGCGATTATTCTCCAAGCGCTTGTCAGTTAAGATGGTATTATTATTATTATTATGTTATTATTATTATTATTTCAGGTGGCATCTGTTGGCTTCACCGGAGCAAGGATGGCATCTGCAGTAGTACTTATCAGCTGAACATGTCCCAGGAACAATGTTGCCAAGTTCAACTCTCTTATCACCCATTCACATATTGGACTCCGGACAACCTACAATTCAGCGAGTTGGTGCGGGCACACGCCATCTATGGTGGCGTACCTGGCTGTGTCAGTTGTCGAAGTAAGTTAGCCATCTTTTACTTTCTTTTTTTCTCTCTCTCTCTCTCTCTCTCTTTCTCTCACTCTCTCTCTCATTCTCTCTCTCTCTCTCTCCTCCCTTTTTCTTTATTTTTTCATTTTTTTTACAGTGAGGTTAACCCTGTACAAGGCCCGAGGGCTAATCGAGGCAGAAAGAGATAAGAGGCACAGTTTATGTAGATAGGCGGGTAAGATAACGGTTAACTCTAGAACAGAACAGATTAAGATTGTAATGATTGGGGAAACATCCGCTTGGAGTCGGTTCCTCAGAAGATTAGTCCCCGGGAAGAAGCTGCTTCTCACCTAAGAAATACGGAGGGAATGAGGGTCTTTTGCTATAATGTGAGTGTGAGTGTGCGTCCTACCCGTGAAGGTTAGAACCGGTGGAACCAAGGAATGCCGTTCATTCGAGTACTTTCCACGGTAGTAGCGATAGAGCAGTGAGAGGCTTGCCACACCCCGTATGTGAGAGAGGGGTTGCACGGTGAAAAATAATTTGTCACCCACAAGGAGACAGAGACGCTTTTGGATTCTACCGAGATTGGAAACTGAGAACTAGGTAGCTCCCGTCCAAATATGAGAACAATACTCCATTTTTTGACTGATCAGGCTCTTGTAAAGTTAGTGGATAGCACCTAGAGTCAGCTACTTACTTGAGCGGTACAGGGAGCCGACCATTTTATCTGCACCCTTAGCAATGCATCGTATGTACGAGTTCCACTTGAGTGTAGTTGCTCAAGACACGGGTTCTCCCCCGAGGGAACATCTATTCATCATGACTGGTGGTAGTTCGCGCTGATGGTTGCTATGTACATGAAACTCCGCGTTTTGCTACAGGTGAGGAAAAATATATATATATATATGTGTGTGTGTGTGTGTGTGTGTGTGTGTGTGTGTGTGTGTGTGTGTGTGTGTGCAAGTGCGGCATGAAAGCAGGTGGTATTAATCCAACTGATTGGAAGACTGTTGCTGGAGATCGGGGCAGATGGAGGGAGTTCGTCGGGAAGAACATGCAGCTGGACTGAGAGAGGATCGATGTGAGACGAAGAGGACCCGCAAAAGCCAACCACAGAAGAATGGACCCACGGCGTAACTCGGGACAGAAGGAGGCCAATGATATATATATATATATATATATATATATATATATATGACGAGCATAATCTTACCAAAATATATATGGTATAGAAAGATTAACTTTTGTGGATATTCACAAAGGGAATTAAAATTTTACCGGTAAAAATTAGAAATTAATTCAGTTTGGAATGGGTTATAGTTACCTGTTGATGAGCGTGGTCTTCGTGCACAGTCTAAAATCATTTCGGGTTTGATAAACCAGGATATATTCTCTACAAGGCATTTCCTTATTTCATTAAAAGAGTTAAAGACCTTAATAAATACTGAGGCCTACAGAAATGACCAAGAGGACCGAATAATTTCTGCATGCCTCATCTTCCGAAGTCGAGTGTCGTGTGCTGCAGCATGTGGTTTCTCTAGACTCAAGATTTGACTTTGTGGGTTAGCAAATCAATACATCCATTCAGAAATGGCAGTTGAATTCAGGCACGTAAACATGAGTTTTAAAAATTACCTTAGGTCAGACAGAAGATCCCTTCACAGGCATAAGCATTGGTCATACACATGACTCTGAACCTTTGTTTAAAAGCTACCTCAAAGCAGGATTTAGCCGAATAAGCTTAACTGGTGATAACCGAATAAGATAATGTCTCGACTCTGAGACACAGAGCTTAAGACTATGGATTATATATATATATGAAGGCGCCATTGATAGAATACTTGCATATCACTGGCGGCAACTTTTATTGTTTTCGAATAATCCATATTAAGAGTTTGGAATCCCAGAGATTAATATGACTTTTTTTCCCTTTAGCATTCGATCTCATATTTAATAAATTATTTTTGTAATCACATTCTCGGCTGTTTTTAATTAATTGTTCTATTATTTCTTTATTTATTTATTGCAATATTTTCTCTTTTTTTTTTCTTCAGCGTCCTGTAAAAACGTAAGATGTGGTCCAAGCAAGACTTGTCGTATGCGTGGGAATCAACCCCGTTGTATTTGCTCACCTGACTGCACACCTCCAGTTCGTTTTCGAAGGTACAGGGGCAAAATATGCGGTTCAGACGGCCAAGAATATCGCAATTATTGCAGTTTGTTAAAACATAATTGTCGTCACAGAAAGTCAGTCAGTATCGCCTATTTTGGATCGTGTAAAAGTATGACATTTTTCTTTGCCTCGCTAATATTTTCTCGTTTTACTTTCTTTTAATAATTATAATTCTTAGTATTTATTTATATGCAAGATAATTACATAGGAGATAAACAATATACGTGTAGCGATTTTTGCAGGGTTTCTAGTGTGGGCTACATTTGAAAACCTAGCACTCCCCAATTTTTCATTGACTTTATTCTGTCATTATTAGCCTAAATTACACCAACGTATTTTAAAAGTGATATAAATAGTCACAATTAGCACAATTCAAAATTTAGTAGCACTGTTATTGTGTTCTGTGTGGCCTCTTGCTTCAGTTCTTGAGGCCCCAACGACTGCATCAACGCTGTATTACACATTCGATGGATAGTCATGATAGCATCAATTCTAGGAGGAAGCTGGAGGGAAATGATCAAGAGAGCGCATACCGACTCTTTGACTTAGTATTTCGCCACGTGCTAGCTAGCCTCGCTAAAGAACCTGGGTGCGGGAGGCGCGTTGACTCTAAAATTCTAGCGAATGAGGAAAAAGATTTGGAAAGTTTGACACTCACATGACATACGAAAGGCAAAAGTGAGAGGGGAGGTAGCATGCCACTTACCTGATGAGCTTATGTAAAAGAATGGCGGAATGGATGTGGTAAAAAAACAATTGTTACTAAGAGCTACAAAGGAGAGGGTATTTGCGGAGAGCCATGATCGCCCACCACTTGAAGGGACACGCCATATAGAAGAAGACGATACGTTTTGTGCATAAGTAAACAAGGAATTTACTGTCAAGTTCTCCTTTCACTTACACACAAATACCCTTGGGAAAGGTATAAATCAATCACTTACCCTAGCTATGGGTTAAATAGTAGGACTTGTATCTGGAAATTGTTATTCGCCAAAAATTATTAATGCAATATTCACTAGTAAAAAAAAAAAAAAATTCTTACAATCCCAAAATTACAAAAAAATGTTTCGGCTTGAAATAATCCACAGTTGGTTGATAAGACGTAAAAAATCAATCTCTTCAGAAACGTTGATAATCTTCAGTATGCTTAACCTCACGTACAATTTTTGCTGAATTTATGAAGTGGGTGGCAGTTCTTGAAAATGTAGGTATAAATCTAACCGCTCTAATAAACATCCTCACTTTTCTAGTCTCTAATTACTTCCATTTTATCTATGTTCAGTTTCATTTTGTTCTGTTTGGAATGAATCCCAACTATTTGGTTTCCTCCTTGAGGATCTGGCATTTTGCTAAGTTCAATTTTAACCTGTCTTCATTCAATCTGTCGAATAGGACCTGGAAATACTGAAAATGTACCTCGGCATCTTTCAAGTAAACCAAAATATCGTCACGGTCAACTCTGGCGTACCCTTCCAACCCACTCAAATATTACCATCATGAGCTACTGGAATATTCCGAGTGTATTTGCTAACCTGAAAGGCATTAATTTGGTTTTATACAATTTCATATAGCATAAAATGGCAGTCTTCACTTTAGTTGCCTCTTTTAATGACACCTGCTAGTATTCCGATTGCAGACCAAGAGCGAAGAAGCAAATCTGCTTAACACAGTGAAGCTATTGTCAATCTATGACAACAGGTAGGCAAGGGCTTTGATGACATTTTTTAGAATCCTTGTTTTGACAGAGGACAATTATGGACATTTTCCTCATAGATGCAAAAAGAAATTCAAAGAGCCAGTTCTACAGAAGGATACAGAGAATATCATGGAAGGAGCATAAGTGAAACGAAGATGTTTTAAAGAAAATGGGAAAGGAAAAAGACATTTATATTTAAAATCAAAATGAGATAATTGAAATATCTTATCATTATGAAGAAAGAAAGCCAGGAGAATATAAGCTCAATTTAAAGCTCGATGTTTCTCTTGACCTTCAATAAGTTCAAGAGAAACACCACACAATCAATCTATTCCCACCGATTTTCCTGAATGTCTCGAAATTCTTCATCGTAACCGTCGCCTCTGCCTCTATGAACGCTTCCACATTTCTCCCCTTCATCGTTAGGTTCAGTGAAGAATACATACACGCTTAGATTTCACTTATTCTTGACCCTTTGCCTCCGCCTCTCTCTCTCTCTCTCTATATATATATATATATATATATATATATATATATATATATATGTAACAAGGCAAATAAATATACGTGTTATTAACCTACCTCTGTGAACCAACATAAGATAGGAGGCATTACTTTCGGAGTAACCTTCGTACACACACACACACACACACACACATATATATATATATATATATATATATATATAGTCATCCAAAGACAGACTGCTTCGCTGTACCACAGCTCATCAGTGTACCTAGACATCCAATAGCTTCAAGCCGGGATCGAAACCCGACCGATTTGGCATATGTCATAGATTCTACCCACCAGATATCATCGCACAACAGAGAGTAAGAGAAATTTTAAGGTTTTTATTATACGAAAGAAGTCAGTGGCTACGAGAGAAGAAGATATATATATATATATATATATATATATATATATATATATATATATATATATATATATATATATATATATATATATATATGAAAAAAGAGCCAGACAAACCTACCTAGGTTTCACCTACGCTCAGGTTTGCCTGGCTCTTTTAGGTTCATAGTTAGATTTGCTCTACTTAGTGTATTGAGCACTTTGCTTAGTTATTTTTGCTTTACTCGTGTTGGAGGTTTTTTTCTTTGGACTCTGAGCTTGGATTCTGGACAATTGTTTTCGACTGAATTACATGTTCTTAGTTCTTTCTTTTTTTATTCCTTATTTTTCCTTAGGTATTGTTTCGATCATTTACAAGCCAAAACCCCTAAGGTTTTTTTCAGACGAGTATAATTACTTATATATATACACACACGCTATATCGAATCTAGCACGACAAATGTATGCAACGTTACAAAATCACAACTGTAGGGTATCCTGTTAGGACCGAACATTTTTTTTTAAATCATTTCATCTCAAGACAATAAAGATGTTATTAGTGTGAAAAAAAAAAAGAAACCGCGGAAACGTTCTTGAGGCGAAAGGACAATCAAAACACAGGATTCAAAGCGACAGAAGACGACGACTGAGGCTTCATTTAAATTTGGAAAGATCTTATTTATCAAAAAAAAAAAAAGAAAACCTGAAGGGAGTTTCACATGCGAGAAATGTGAAAAAAATGAAATAATCATAGCCTGTGAGACTAGCTTGATAAATATGGTAGTCATTCTACAGCCGTCAGAAATATATTTCAAGTTCCCTAGTGGATGGCTAAAATCGCGTCTACTTCCAAACCTATACGTAATATGTTTTTAATAAATATAAATCCCCAATGGTCAAGTTTAATTCATACATTGGGCACAATAAGAGATTCTAACCAATAATAAAATGCAAGAATTCTAACAATATATTATAATAAAAGTTATTTATGTGAAGATCAGATTATTTCTTCTCTTTCACTTCTATCTTGTGAAACTCTCTTCCGGCTTCTTGCTTCCCAGTCAACTTTGATCTTCAAAAATTTAAATACAATGTCAATCTTTATCTTTTGTCTTCTTAATTCTTGATCGTTATTGTTCTCTATCATTAATAGTGTTTTTTCTCGTATTCTCGTTACACTCAGTAACCCCTTCCGTCATACTGGCTCTATTGCATTGCCTGATGCGAAATGATTTTTAAGAATATTAATAATCTCAGTAATCGTTTCTTTAATTTCTTCATTAAATCAAAACCTTTCACTTTCCATTTTTTCTCTCTTAAATCGATCATTTTTTTTTAGTCTTTCTTCAGCACATCCGAATTGCAAGAATCGCTTGCTCGTGCATCTTGAGATTCTTGTTCAATAAAAGGTTTGAGCCCGAATGACTGAAAGCTGTGTATAAAGGAAACAAATTCATTACTTCACGACAAAGTGTCTAAACAGATAACTATATCACCTTCTTTCTTCCTTACAAATTCAATATCATGTTGGTGATGTCACTTTATTTACTCATTGTTTAACATCTACATGATAGGTTTTGAAGCAAAATTAATTTCTGGAGAACCAATAACAGCCATTCTTCGCTTAACGACTTACATGTTTACTGACCCTCGCACTTACGACCAGCTATAAAATCGCATAAGTTAAAAAAATATCTTTTTTTAAATCCAGCCAATCGATATTGTATATTATATGAAGACATTGACCGTTAATGCTTTCTCTTTTTTCAAAATGAATTTTAAAAAAATAATTAAAATAACTAATGTGAAAAATAAATAAAAATGTACTTTTACTATATTCACAACATATAAGCCGAAGTTTGTTTTGTTTTACGGTATATCAACCTCAATGGGTTATTTAATGCTGACAAGATTTTTATTGCTTTATTTTCAAAAATGTATTTCTGTTAATGTATTGCTGGTAATAAATTTTTTCTTAAAAAATTTATTGCTGGTATTAAAACCCATTTTTACATTTTCATAGTGTTTTCACACCAGTCTGTGGTGTTAACTATTTGCCAATAGCTGAGACCATAATAATTGCTAGCATCCTGGGTCAGGGTGGACCTGGGAATACCAGCAATAGAGAGGTGTCTACACGCTCCTCAAAACCTCCTGATCAGGGACCTTGCTGCAAGATGTAGTTTATTGTCATACCTAGAACGCCTCGTTAGGTGTGTGGGGGGGTCGTACCCTTCTGCAGAGGTGCTATCGGCGTATTCTGAAGCCCCAGCCGACAGGGCATATAAACTGAAGTAATGTATAGCATATATAACTGATTTTCGAATTTGTTTCTTAACTTTAATGTTTGATTGACACACAGTGGAACAATGGATAGCGGCTCGGTTTGAGTAACTGAGTGAAGTTTGAATTCCAGTCGGGTTCGTTAGATTCGCTCACGTACAAATACCCTAGGGAAAGTTACGAATCCATCTCATCTTTCTCCATTACAGTTATAAGGCAAATAACAGGACACTGGATCTTATAGACTTGGCTGGCAACCGGCCTAAGAGAAGAGCAATTCCTTTTCAAACCCACCAACTATAAGTTAAATAGGCTTACCAACCAGCAATTGGCCAAGCATGGCGAATACGGCTATACCCCTGAAGACATGGTCAATCAGGAAGGAGAGAGAAGGCCATGGATCTAGGTCTGTTCTAATAAACTTTCATTGCTGGCAATTTTTTTTTTACTTTTAATGTTCGTTAAGTTAGTATATTATATAATTTTTTTTTTTAAATTGGAAATGTTAGAAATGGTGCGCAAGTCATATTAAAATTTTCTGAAGCTGGTTGATAAAAACATTACACGTCTAATATGTGTGAAATAGCGGTCAGATTCACTTAGCCATAAGCTCTTTTAGCAACTAGATTTATTTTCAAACGGAACTAGGTCCTTAAGCAGGAAACGTATTTATTACATTTTTGATTTTATATATTCAATTCTTTTCTGTACTTAACAGATTCGTGTAAGAACGTAAAGTGCTACGGTTTAGGAAAGAGATGCCTGGAAGACCGCACAACCCTGCCTCATTGCGTCTACTGCAACCAAAGATGCGAGGGGTCGGTGAGAAACTCACGGGTCTTGTGTGATGAATATGGCAACACCCATCAAAGCTTTTGCCACCTGATTGCAGCGGCCTGTCGCCTCGGACAAAGCATTCGATTGGCCTATTATGGCAGGTGCAGAGGTAAGTAAATCAACTTCAATATATAGAAAGCAAATAGAATCACAAGTTCATTGAGATGAAACAAATCATTGTTTTTCTTCTTAACGTGCTTATCAGTATTGGTACTTCGAGAAAATAAAGCTTAGCTTAGGAGGTTATAATAACAAGATTTGTTACTCCCGAATAAGGAAATCATTTAATGAGCATAATTATAACCATAAGGATTACAAATGTACATTCTCATATATACATATATATATATACTAGCAGCATGGTCCGGCGTTGCCCGTGCTTGATTTAAAAATCGTACGACTCATACAGCAATCGCTATCACTTAACTTAAAATAATTTTGTCCTTCCTTGCCTTTAAAGGAGTTCCCTTTGCCGTGCTGATGTTGCTACATGCCTTACTTCTTGCCTATCTCACACTGCAAATTTTTCTCTAAGCTCTATACTAAACATTAAATCTGTTACGAAAAAAGAACAAAACAAAATGAACACAAAACGATCAGCTTTAAAAAAAAAAAAAGGACTCGTAACTGGAAAAACCGAATGAAAAAAGAATGTTAACAACAAATACTTTTTTACACCCAACCCAGTTCTGCAGAATCAGAATCAACGTTGAGTTTAAGCAAACGAATGAGCCAATTGGAGTAAAGTGCCATGCAGATTTAAATTTTTCTCACTTGTGACGAATGCAGCTATCGATTTTTTGGCATGCTAGTTAACATTCGTGTCAGTCAACTGTTGGCTCTCACGCTGGCCAATAGAATCTTCCTGCCTATTCGTGACAGCCAGCTATAGGCTCTCACTCTGGCCAGTAGAAAATGGCCGCAAACTACATGAAAACTGCCGTAGAAGCATGAAAAAGTCAATTATTTCCACTATCGATGGGAGTTGGGAAATGCAAAGTCGGTCTTGGCCTTCCCGCTAACTTGGAGCATGTGCATGTAAATTTTGGTGCAAATCCGTCGAAAATTTCGGCCGTACATTCGTCACACACACACACATCCTGCCTTTTATAGATAGATATATATATGTGTGTGTGTGTGTGTGTGTGTGTGTGTGTGTGTGTGTGTGTATGTAAATATTTATGTGTGGGTGTGTGTATATATATATATATATATAGCCGGCCACTCGTATTCGAGGATACCCGTCTACTATTGCAGACTCTCGCACAGGCACATTTGTGTATGTTCAACACCCACATAGCCAATGTGGATTATACTGCATCTATGCTGAGCAGACTTTAGTTACAGTTGCTGGGGTAGAGCGAGTTATCTAGAGATCTAGAATGATCAACAATCTGAACAACACAAGCCCACTCAAACCCTCAGTCCCGATGACTTTTGACTTCGTGCTAGAACAGCTATCGACGACCCCAAGTGTTCCATCTCCCCAATTTCATTCACAGGGTTTGGGTTAACCCGTGGTATAATTTTCAGGCACTTTCCAAAGGCACCGTACGCTGGGATCGACCACCTCCAGACCGATAGCATCAGGAAGTCCCCTTCTTGACAAATCGACCATGGTCGATGACCCGCGTCTCATGGCGGGGTCTAACCACGCGGCCATATATATATATATATATATATATATATATATATATATATATATATATATATATATATATATATATATATATACAATTAATCATTCAGACTAAAAACTACGTTCATACTACACCACATATTTGATTTAAAAGAACCGATGCGACGAGTAAATTTTCGGGATAACAGCTGAGACATTTCTCTATTTATTGAACAATTTAGTTCATGCCAAATTGACTGATAAACTCCTACAACAAAAAAAATCTCAAATTACCATATTAGTAATAAACACAGAGCGTAGACAGCATTTTGCCCCCACTTACACTAGTGTCCAACGCATTTATGAGGATTGGGACATACCCAATAATGTTCATAGGTACGGTATATAACAAATATAAGCTGTAAAGAGTGTAAATCCTTTTTCTTCTTTTATGTGCCGTGTCCCTTCGGGACGTAGGCTTTCAAGACCCCCCCCACATCTTTATTTAACTCTAACCACGTTCTATCATCCATTTACTGAAGCTCATCAAGTATGTTACGCGCTGCTTTTCCCTTTCCCTCAATCTGTCCTGTGAGTAACAGATTTTCCAAGCCCTCTTTCCTCATTACGTGCCCCAGAAACCTCAACTGTCTCTTCCTGGTGTTAAGTATAATTCTCCTTTTTGTTTCCATTCTCCAAAATCTCATTGTTGCTCATATGTTCGGCCCAGGCTATCCTCACCTTTTTTTTTTTTTTTTTTTGAAGAACCACATTTCTGTTGATTCAAGTCTCTTCTTCATATTTGAGGAGTTTGTCTAGTATTCGCTGCCATACAGGAAGATAGTTATCACATAACAGTTCTCTTTTCTTTGTTTCTAACGAACTTTTTCTGTCTCTTAATACTCTGCTTAGCTTTTGGAATGCATCTTTGGCCATCCTGGTACGCCTTCGGATCCCAGAGTCACACTTCCCTTTCTCAGTTAGAACACTCCTCAGATATTTAAGTTTCTGTACTTGTTTGATTTGTATCACCGATTTGTATTTTGCATTTTTGTCTCATATTCGTACTGCGCATACGAGACAAAATGGCAACCACTAATTATGGCTGTACTTATATGAAACACCTTATATAAGCTTAAAAAATCTCTCTCTGGATGAATACATTTGGATTATTCTGTCTAGTCAGAGTTCCGGTAATAAACCTCACTTAACTTGTACTGAGATTAGAATAACTGATTTATCAATCAGTAAGACGCCTATCAATCGCTGACGAACTCATGTAAGTAAAAACAACTCTTTTATTGATGTTCTTAATAGGATGACCTTTGGCACCAATAAACGAAATACGTAGGTGCGCCTGCTCAGGTCTGTAACTTATGACGTCATCACATTGGCAAAGGCATAAGATTTCATTAATAAACTATAGAGACAAGCTAATCTATCTCTGAGGCTTCCTGTTTACATTAGATGATGCTATATTTTTAAATGTTATAATTGATTCTATTTAATCATTATTTTTATTAAGAGCACAAGGCTACAAAGCGTATATTAGTTTACTATAGTTTACTGCATCAGTTGCCTTTCTTCACAGTAAAAATGTCTACATATATATATATATTAGAGCTGTTGGTGTCGGTTGGATTTTAAATCAGCCCATCAGAACAGATTTCTGTTTTTTTTTCTCTACTAGACTCGGAGTGAACTGATTTTTTTTTTTTTTTTTTTACAGTAAGGTTCACCCTGTACAAGGCCCAGGTGCCACTCGAGGTAGAGGGTTACGATAAGGGGTAGTTTCTATAGATAGAAGGGGAAGATTACGGTTAATCTAGACTTGAACAGGTTAAGATTGCAGTGATCTGGGAAACACTCTCAAGGAAGTCTGTCCCATAGAGCAGTGTTTCGCGGGAAGAAGCTGTTTGATTAGAACTTACTTCTCTCCGATGAAATACGGAAGGAATCTGTGTGGTTTGCTACGATGTAAATGGCATGGATAGTTCTAGACGTGAAGATCAGACATGGTGGAACCAGGAGATACAGTTCGTCCGAGCACTTTCCATGGTAGTAGCGATAGAGCAGCGAGAGGATCGCCACATTCCACCTGTGAGAGAGAGAGAGGTTTCAAATCCAACAGACACCAACGAATCTAATATAGAGGATGTCCCCTCAAAATTCACATAATTTTATACTCTAATAACATAGCCATTTCTCGCTCAAATGATCACACATTTTGAAAAAAAATGTGTAAAAACTAAGTCGACTAAGCGATCTTATGTCAATGAGAATCTACCAAGAAGATGGATCGGTCGTGCCAGTGATAATGACAATGTGTTGCTGAAATGACCACCACGTTCACCTGACATAACACCTTGTAATTTTTTTCTATGTGGCTATGTGAAATGACAGCTCTATATTCCCCCTCTAGCAACAAGCCTAGAGGTAATTAAGCAGAGAATCACTGAAGACATGCTACAGCGTGTTTAGCAGGAACTGGACTACCGATTTGATGTGTGTCGTGACACAGGTAGTGAACATATTGAACATTTATGAAGCATTGTGAAATCGGTTATAAAATCCACAAACCTTAGAATATCTTGTTCAAATTTTGATAAATAAATCTTTTACTGTTCAACATGAACCCTCTTTAATTTCGTTTGGCAAGGACATGTAGTTACTCAGATATTCCCATTTCAAATGATGTCAATTTTATGGGATCCATATATATATATATTAATCTAGTTCATCCCAAGCAAGGGAGTAAAGCCACTGAGACACAATGGTTTTTTAAAGAATTATAAAACAGAAACATTACTCAGGAGCGAGAACAAAAGAGGTGCAATCACGAAGACCGTAGATATCGATTGGCATTGCATTTAAACTTTTGGAGATTAACGTTGTCCGGAAACATGGAACCGAAAGGGAGTTCCACAAGCGGGAAGTGCGAGAAAGGAAACTTTTAGCATGGAACTCCACTGTATACCGATGATAACTCGTTGCCAGTCTAGTACTGAGGTTACATTCATAAAATCTAGTTACATTAGCGAAGAGCTCATCCGAACAATTACCATGAAAGTAATTATAGAAAAAACACGGGGAGGTAACTTCATTGCAGTGAGAAAATAACTGAAGCCGAAATGCAAGATCAGGTCCAATAATATTGCTGATTCTTCTTTGGATTTTTTTAAGGATTTCTAGATATATAGCAGGAAACCCAGACTATATGTCACAGCAATATTCTAAAGTTGGATATATATATATATATATATATATATATATATATATATATATATATATATGTGTGTGTGTGTGTGTGTGCATATATCCGAGTGATTCCAAGAGCGAAACTGAAACCCACGCGTCTGAACGCGATCAACCCCGAAGACCCCAGTAGTGGAATAGGCTACAGGATATTAACGACCAAACCGACGGAAGAGGGCAGCAGGCATAACCAACGCGGACCTTGACATACCAAGCCCGATGCAACCAGATTTGCC